ATGTCCCAGTAAACTGTTTGAGTGATGGATATAGCATCTGGTTAGGAATGACTTGTACAGAGCTGACAGACGTGATATGTGAATTCTAGTAAGTTTAATACAAGTTGAGCACGGAGAGTTTGAGTTGTTATAACGAAGTATAGAAAAATGTATGTTTTGCTGCACTAGAAAAGAATCCCTGTTAGAGATTCTTCACACTTCTTTTTAAGAAGCAAATTTCAAGTAACAAAGTAAATTGGAGCCTGACTTTATCCATTTGTATAGGGTACCAGATTGCTTCCTGATGTTGGTGAATAGTAATCATTAGAATAGTATGGTTCATGTAGCAAAATTAAAAAGTAATGAAATATGTGGAGGAAAAAAGTGATACTTCCCCAAAAGCACAGCTAAACTATTATCATTTTAATTAATTTCATTCTCTTAAATTTTGTTTAATCTCAATCTTTTCCCATGTTTAAATATATGAAGGTCTATGGTTATGTATAGATAATAAGTATGTATATATAAAAAGACTATCATATCTATACATATGTAAACATAGACCATCATATATCTATATCTAGAGAAAGACAGATAATATGTATGTTTATGTATATCTATATATACACACACACCATGGAGTACGGTGTATTTGTAAATATTTACATATAATGGATGTCCTATATTTTTCATTTAATATTATGAGCATTTCTTCATATCTATGTTAAATGTTAGATATTTGTTTTAATTGTACAACAGTTTTCCTCCAGTTGAGTGCTTCTCAAAATTTGATTCACACTGGAATGTTCTGAAGAGTTTATTAAAAAGACAGAGGAAAAAAATTTTCTCCATTCCATTTGTTTGTCCAGGTCATTACACAGATTTTAAGAATAATTGATCTAAGGAACATCCTTCTGATATAATGTCTATATTCTTTTAATTCAGAGGGACACTTTTCTTTCTCATAATTTGAAACATTTTTGTATAATATTTCATTCCTTTGTCCAAACTTTTTAAATCATCACACATACTTTTTAAAAAATTACATCAATTAGTTTTTGTAGTGCTAGGGCTTATTTAATCCAGGACCTTGCACATTATAGGCAGATGTTTATACTGAGCTGGAAATTACTAGCCACCAACACCTTTTTTTTGTGGTGCTGGGGTTGAACCTAGGGCTTTGTGCATACAAAGCAAGAATTCTACCACTGAGCCACACCCCCAGCCCAAGCCCCTTTTTAAGTGATAATAAAAGCACAACACTTGTACATATTAACAGTGTAAGGTTATTTGAGTGCATGTATACATTGTGTAATGTTTAAATCAGGTTAAACATATCTACTCAGATACTTATTTTTTATGATAAAACTTTCAAATTCCTTCTAGCTTATTTAAATGTACAGTATATTGTTATCTGTAGTCACCCTACTGTGCAGTAGTGCACCAGAGTTTCTTGTTTCTACCTGATAGTAGCTAGGTATCAAGATTTCCCCATCCTCTCTCCTCTGTTCTCTGTATTCTCCCATAACCACCATGCTATTCTCAACTTCCATGAAGTCAACTTTTTTAGATTCCATATCTGAGGGAGATTACCTGGTACTTCTTTCTGTGCATAGCTTATTTTACTTAACCTCAGTTCCATCTATGCTGCAAATGAGGGATTTCATTCTTTTTTTTTTTTTATTAAAAAAACACCTAACAAAACAACAGCAATGAAGCAATCACCTCAAAACAAAATGATAGGAATTAACAATTGCTACATTTCATACTGTTATCTTCAGTGAAGTTGCTCAGTCCACCAGATGTAAGAATGTAAGCTTGATCAAACAATCAAAGACAATAACAAGTAATAATAGTAATAAAAAAAAACAACTGGGGAGCCTCTATGAGCTGTCTGGGAACCTGGGACCCCTGGCTCCGTTCCCCTGCTGCTATCTTGGGAAGGGGCCTTGTACTCTGGAAGCCTTGGTTCATTCTTTTTTTATGGACATGTAGTATTTCACTGTGTGTATGTACAACCTTTTCTTATCACTCTTTAGTTAATGGGCACTGTGGTTGTTTCCATTTCTTGTCTTTTGTGAACAGTGCTGCAATGAACATTGGAGTGCAGATATCTTTTTGACATACTGATTTCTTTTGGATATACACCCAGTATTGAATTGCTGGATCATATAATAGCTCTATTTTTAATTTTTTGAAGGACTTCCATACTTTTTCCATGTCTGTACAATTTTCAGTAATATTTTTAAACCTGATAGTGACTACATAGCATTCTATTGAGATTATTCTTAAATTTATTTAACTCCTACTTGTTAAAAATGTTGGGTCTCCTTCATTTTTATTAATATAAACATAGTTTACATGAACTTCTTAATCTGTGTATGTGTCTCATTTTCTTTGAAGAATGTAAGTCGCATTGCACTGTAGTCCATCTCTTCTAATTTACCTCACAAAGCTTACTCTTCCTTCCTTAGTTAAAAAAAAAAAAAAAAACACGTTATTTTATAGGTGGGCATATTGGCAGTATTGGATTGTTTTTCTGTTTCTGTATATTTTCTAGCCTTCCAAGTGGTTAGGTATAGCCAAAGGGCTAAGTTACAGTTTATGAAATGCTAGCTGAAATTTAGGATTAGCATTAGAAGGGGAGCAGTGTGGCCATTTATCCCCCTTTCTCTTGTTTTTCCAGCTGCAGTGTGGGAATATTCATTGGAATTCCTACAACTTTTGTGGAATATGAGGTGACTTTCAATGTAAATAGTGTATGGTAGAGCAAAATGGTGGGAGGGACTTGAGTTGTCAATACTTGGAGGTGCTGTATGAACTTTTAACTATCTACTGGAAATTAATATGGGAGAAATAAATATATCTCCTCCCTTTTCCCTTGTTTATGGGGAAATAATGTAAGAGGTCTGATATAAGAAAATGTGTATTGTGTCATGGTAAAAGCTAGATCACGTTGAAAACAAATCCATATTGAGACTAAAGAGAATAATCATTGAAAAGGATGATATTTTAAATTATATGGAAAATATGTAATTCTGGGGAACTGATGATTAAGTTGCTAATTTTGTTAAATGCTTTTAATAATTACAGCAAATATTTCAGAAAACACTGAGCTTTTAGGCAAAATACAGAACATTGAAGATTATACATTGTATGGCATCAGAATAATGCAGCTGTATGAAAAAAAATGTTTTTTCCTTTGATAGTACTGGGGATTGAACCCAGGGGCCTTCATGCTGGGCTACATATGCAGCCCCACCACCTGCTCCACTCTAAAATTTTTTGATTTTTAAGAGAAGGCCTTGCCAAATCGCTAAAATGGTCTATGCTGGATTTGAATTTGCAGTCCTCCTACCTCAGGTTCTCAGAGTGCTGGGATTAAAGGCATGAGCCACCAAACCCAGTGAGTTTCTAGTATTATGAAATGTCTTAGCTAGTCATTTTGATGAATTCATTAGTTTAACATACATTGATTGATTGATAGATTGAGAGATTGAGACAAGTGCTTAGTATGTAGTTCAGCCTGTCCTTGAACTCACTGTGTAGCAAAAGCTGGCCTTAAATTTACAATGATCCTCCTGCCTCAGCTTCCAAAGTTCTGGGATTGCAGGCATCATTAATTTAACTTTTAATGCTCTCATATGTACTTTGTTGAAAAAATTATAATATATGAAAATTTTAAAAACATCTTTATAATTATAGACTTACTGAATCTTAGTATTGCTTCTAAGAAATTTAATTATTATTTTAGTGTTAAATAAGGGAAGAATATACATTTTAAAAATTGAGACTTATTTTGGGGTAGTTTCAGGTTAATAGAAAACTTGAGCAGAAACTTTGGGGTTTCCATATATCTGCTGTCTCAAGTATGCACATTATATTTTAGCTAAGATACATATCTCACTGTATATAATGTTACACATGGAGGAAAAAGACCCCACATCCTGAACAACATATATATTCTTTGGGAAAACCATATACTGCTACAAGACTTTCTGCTCTACTATAGGGTTTCCTACCTTAAACACTATTAACATTTTGGACCTGGTAATTCTTTGTTGAAGGGTGGGTTGTCTTGTGCATTGTAGAAGGTACAAGAATGTCCTTGACCTTTTCTTACAAATGTCAAAACATTCTCCAGTTACAACACCCAGAATTATCCTCAGACATTGCTGAATATCTCTTGGGGAACTAAATCACCCCTAGTGGAACACCATTGCTCTAAGTGAAATACTATATGTTAGAATTCTCCGTGCTTTAGATTGAGCCCAAATTTATAGTTTAATGAATCTTCACATAGAAGTTATACAGACAAGGGATTGAATCTTCCCTGCTTCTTGGGCACTGTGGTCTGTATAGTTGTCCTGAACCTAAATTGCCTTGACTGTAAAATAGGGAAAACATTATCTAACTTGAAAGGTTGTTGTAAGAATTGTTAAGATAAATTTATAAAGTATAGTACTTTGATTTATGTTGGTTTTCTTCAAAGGTTGTACTTTATCCTTTGAATTTATTGCCTTAAATATGTCAAAACCTATCACAAAGTTTATCTATCCATGGGAAAAGCTGTTGTTGTTTGAGATATACTTACAGATCTCCAGAATATTATACTTTGAGTAGGTAAAAACTTAAGATGAATGTTGACTTGTTTTTTGGGCCATTTGTGTTTTGATACCTTATGGTGGGCTAGATTGTGACTGTGTTGAAATAGTAGCATTTAAGTTATCCCATTTAAGGACTTTTAGCTTCCCAAACTGAAGATAGCATTAGTTGTCAGCCAATCACTTTGTCCTTCTAACTTTTTATTTTCATATCTGAAATCCTTCCAGTTATAGTAGCTTGTGTGTCAGCTCCAATAAAGCAAGCTTGACTGTTGGATTGAACTTAGTCCACTAAAGACTGTAAAACCTTGACAAAGTTTACAATGGATGCTGTCCACTTCTATTGTTATTTTGTAAGATTGTGAATCATTGTCCACTAATGAATTAAATGTCATCTGTTGTTCTTTTGCCCTGCAGAACATTTCCAATAACTCGGTCAAGACAGAAAAACTGTCAGAAAGGTTGTAGCATTACTACACTGTAAGTATCTCTTTGTAAAAAAAAGTGTAAGTGAAGAACATTCCAAGTGTCCAGCTATTTGAGAGAAAATACGTTAAAGATATCAGATGTAAAATACAGAGGAAGATATAATCATGGTAATAATTTATGGGAACTAATCCTATGCAGTTGTTTAAAAATTGAAAGTACATCCTTATAAATTAAGATGAGGATTTTATCATAACATTGAAAAATATTTCTAATTCAAACAAGGATTGATCTAGTTTATGTACATTTGCTTATTTAAAACTATCAGAATAAAAAAATCATTGTAGTTTTATAGGTTGCAATTTGTTTGGGTGGCTTATTGTTTAGGTTATTTTGCAGAATTATTTATTTGCTGATTTATTTATGTATTTCATTATTTATTTATTTGATTATTTAGTAAATTATTTATCTGATGAATTATTAATACATCTTCATGACATGCTTTAAATTATTTATAACTTAATTTTGAGTTTATTGCTTTTAGATGCTGCGTTGTTACTGACTAGTTTAGCTTTTTTTTTTTCCTTTCTTTGTGGTTCTTGAAAATTAAAGTATTAGCTATAAGGCAAAAGTATATTCATTGAAATGTCCATGGGTTGTTTTTTTTTTGGTTGGTAATTTATGGTAGCCATAAAATTGCGGTTATGCTTTGTTTAGCTTTAAGTTTACCTGTTAAGGTTACTGGTAGGTGATAAAATGTCAGTGTGTTGTGTGCACGGTCATTATAGAATCGTGTACAGAGTAGTGATAGAATCTGTCATCAGTAAACTGAGATGAAACGTGTAAACTTCAGCCTACACTGTCTTTTATGTATCTAGAGGACAAGTCTATATTTCTTGCTTTAGAATAAATAATGGAATCTTAGTTGTAGTTCAGGGACAAATCTGTTTTACTACTGGAATATTTTTAGGAAGATTCATAGAAATGAAGTCCAACTTAGATTTGGATCTCTGAGATCCAAATTTGAATGAAATCGTTGTTGTTTAAATTCCTATTAATTGGGGATTTGGAAAGCAGCATGATGTTTATATAGATTTTTATATTAGTCATAATGATATTTATTGTATGTCATAATTTTTGTATTATTTTGATGAACTAGACTGCACAAACATCTTTATAGATGTGAGCTATAGTTTCTTTAATAATTCTTTCATATAAAATTTCTATGTTTAACCAAACAATATCATTTCATTTTTTCTTCTGGTATCATAACATGGTATAATTATTGGGGCTCTGTTGTTGAGTAGTTTAATAAATATGTTAAAGTAGTCATCTGGGTAAAAGAATGCCATGTGCACAACATGGTCTTTATTTTGTGTTTGCTTGCATGGAGTTACTATGTGCTTTATAGTTTTAACAGTTCGGAGAAATGCCTTGTATGTATCAAGTTGAGACTATTGAAATATAGTGAAAATAGCCTCTGTAGACAGGTTTCACTATCGAATTGTAAATTATGCATATATCCAAATTTCTTATTTTGAAATATTGAATATATGAATATTTCTTTTGAATATTGCTTTAGTGTATTCCTATGAATTGCCTTAAAACAAATGATTTCTCTTGATTTCTAAACATGGATTTAGAAATGTATCATGTATATCTGTGACTCTTCTGTTCTGCACATGAATAGGCACAGATACTCTTAATATGGGATTTTATTTTTAAATATGCTTCAATATGCCAGTATGGTTTTCTTTTGAAGAAAACAGGCTGTCTGTCCAATGTTGAATAAGGTATGTTAGCTCTCGTGGTAATCTACTCAAGCCACACTATTAACATATACTTATATGGTACTAGCAATGTCATCTAACTAATCTTACCTTGGATTATACACATTTGTGTGTAAACATACACTTGCACATAACGTGAAATTTTCTTCTGCTATCAGAATAACTTTTTAGGTCTTGTTTTTCAGAGAGATATTAATAGTAGGTATTATAACCATCGCTAACACAGAGCTCTTACATGCAGGCACAATTCTCATATCTTTTGTATGGATTATTTGTTGATTTTCATAGTGAGGTCAATACTGTCATCTTCATTTTCAGGTGGAGGAAATAGAGGTATAGAGATGTTAAATAACTTGGTCCTTGTCGTAACTGTAAGTCTTGGCAGTGGGGTTAAAACTCACTTAATTTGACTTGGCCATTGTTCTAAGCCTGTTACAATTTTGCATGTGTAGATAGTATAACATAGTTTTTAACTGAAGTGTTTTAAAATACCCCCCACCCCAGGCAATGTAGTTTTTAATCTCTGATAACTTTAACTTGGTCTGTATATTTACTTTGTGTTAGACTTAGTCATTTTTCTTAAACAGCAGGCAAGTACTTGAGTTTCTTGACCTTTCTGATTTGATGCTTGTGATCCTGTATGACTGAGCAAAATTACATGCAGAATTAAAACTGTTGCCTTTGCCTGGTGATGGCCAACAGTCAGATCAGATCTTTTGACTCTTATGAGTTATCTTGTAATCCAAGATATTTCTAAAAGTGAAAGGGTATATTATAATTTGTCAGGACAGTAGGTTGTAAAGTGGGACCTTTTGAAGAAATAGAATATGTGGTCACCCTAATAATAATATCTTAACTTCTGATGAGTAATTCTCAATAGTCCTGAATAATGTTCATTGAACAGAAGTATACATTCATTCATTCATTTATTTATTTAGAGACAGGATCTCACTATGCAGTTCAGGCTGGCATTGAACTCACTTTTGTAGCCCAGGCTGGCCTGGAACTCAGTGATCATCCTGCCTCAACCTCCTGCTAGGATTACAGGTGTGCGCCACCATGTGTGGCCCTTTCAACAGAAATCTTAATTCACATATACTGTCTTTAAGAGTGTTTTCTTTAACGGTAAACTCTTAATGGCCAATATTTATGTCTTTTTGTTGGCTAAAACCAGCCCAATTTATGGCTACAACTTCTAATAAAAGATAACTGGTATTGTGTAGGTTTGGAGCCTATTTTCAAGTTGAAAGTAAAAGGGTATTACTGTTACAAACAGAAAGATAAGTAAAGTTGGTCATAATGTAGTAGAAAGTTCTAGTAAAGTTTCTCCTTATATCAAATATTATAGGAATTTCTTTTGCTTGTTTTGCCTTGTAATTATAACTGGTTGCATATTTGACATTATACAGAAAGTCCTGTTTGTTCAACTTTCAGAATTTATAATTTCATGAATGATCCAGTGGTATTTTTTTAAAGTTGTATCACAAGTCACATGTGTTGACAAAGTTTTAGTTTTACCAAAACAATTTGAATGCAACTGACTGTATTTCCTTAGTGAAATTCTGTGTAAGAAAATACAAATCTCTAGAGAGAGTAGCTTAAATGTTTTCTCTTTTGTGTAGTTTCCTTTTTAATTTCTTCATGAGTATTTGTCCATCACAGCAAATTACATCATCATCATTATTACTACTATTATAAAATTTTGAATTCTAATTCATTTGTATTTAGAGCAAAAGAAATGTGGTATGTTGAACAGTAGCATTATTTGTGCGTTAAAAAAATCAGAAATATTCTTATACAGTGATTCTTAACTCATTACTATACGATGTCAGAACTCTTTTGTTCATAAGAAGAGCCTATTATACCAATTAATAAAGGAAAGAGCCATCTATATATTGTCTTTAAGTTTGTCACAGTATGAAGCATTACCCAAAATATTGCTATGTTGTAAGAATAATAATATAGTTTGTGTATTGGCTCTGAGAGTAGCTACATTAGGACAAGTAAAAGTACAGCCAAAAGTCACCTTAAACACATAATTTCTTTCAGACCTCATCCATTTTATGGATAGCATGTGAAATACTTCTGGTCCTTGCATTCATGTTTTAGGAGAGTAACCAAGGTTATTCTCATGGGAGTGTTTCAAGTATCTTTTTAGCCACCTCTTATGTGTCTAAAATATTTGGCATGAATATATATTTGAATTTTGGACTAATTAAATAGAACTTTATTGAATATAAAATTTGTAAAATAAAAACGGGGCTCTTGTTATACCTCAAGGCTTTTATTAAGGCATTAAGTAATAGTAATGTGTAAGAGTCCTTAGTAATACCAAATACTATACTGTCTAAAATGTAGTCTTAATAAGTATTAGTATTAATATTAGTATTAGTATTACTTTAATGTTGATATAGCTCACAAAGTAGTGAAAACCAAATAATATAGCAATGACAACAGAAGCAAAAAATAGTCACACATTATTTAAGTATGATATGCTTATTAATATATAATCTACTAGAATATTTGAGTTTAAATTTGCTATCTAAATAATAAAATATATGGGAAAGCTTTCTATTAAAATAATAAAAGAGAATACACCATGCATTCTAGCATGGTTATCAAACACTGTGTCTCTTTCAGTATGTAGAGCCAAAAAGTATAGGCTGAAGAAAGGACATTTAAAAGAAGACAAAATTATTAAGTATGGCTTCTACTATAACGGATATAAAATGTTCCCTTCTTTCTTTAAAGTGTTTCTGGCTGGGTATGGTGGCACACGCCTGTAATCCCAGCACTCAGGGGGCTGAGGTAGGAGGATCACTGCGAGTTCAAGGCCAGCCTGGGCTACAGAATGAGTTCAAGGCCATCGTGAACTGCAGAGTGAAATCTTGTCTCCAAAAAAAAGAAATCAAATCAAAAAAGTGTTTCTATTGTTTCCACATTCTGCATTCATTTTCTTACTGTCAGGCTTAGATAGTAATGATTTTTAAACAAGATGTTGTCCCATGGAGGAATTTTGTAGTGTTTTCACTTGTCCAAATGATTGTGGGAGAGTTTTTGGCATTTAGCAGATGTGGACCAGGGTACCTAAGTATGCAGGAGACAGTCCTAGAATAGAGATTGTCCTGAGTACTGTACAAGTTTTAAATTTCTGTTCAGAGATAAATCAGTAATATTTGAGTGTAACAGAGTACTGGCAATTTTTTATAAAATATTACATGGAGGGCTGGGGATATAGCTCAGCAGCCTAAGCACCTGCCTGGC